TCTGACTTAAATATAAGAACTTCCACTTTACTCGGTGACCTCGGGTGGGATTCTTTGGAGCGAAAGCGTTCTAAGCCACTAGCAATTATTCTGTTTAAGGCTCTCCAAAATCCATCTCTGACTAGTTTAAATATCATTTTTAAGTCTGCATCTCATATTCAGTGTTCACTCACATAATCTAAGAAATTCCAAATACAACCTTTTCGTTCCTAGACCGAATACTGAAGCAGGGTTTAGAAGTTTTCGATATCGCGGTTCTGTTCTTTGAAACAGCCTGCCTTTGAGATACAGCCCACTCTTAGCTCTTTTAAATATTTTATATAATTAAGGTTAAACCACTATGGCTAATAATTATATAGGATAGTTTTTTTAATAGTTTTTAGTATCATTCTGTACAGAAAATTAACTTAGTTACATTAGTAAGCACGGGTCGATGGAAAAGCATGTTATATCAAGTGAACCAATGGATAAATAAAGAATACCTACCTATAAATTTGTCGAAGATCCCATCAAACTCGCTCCGAACGTGTACCAATCCACCGCCTTCCAATGGCGGAGAGGACTGCAGTGGACTTGGACCCGACAGCACTGCCACAACTGAAACAAATAATTCAAGTTGAATATAACATTGTTAAGAATCCCAACTGGCCGGAGGCAAACCAGTTGACTATTTACAAGCGTGGCCGAGGATTTGAACTCGGGGCTACCGAGAAACAAATCCAGGGAGTAGTCAAAGCGGGACTCGAACCGGGGCCGGCTGCATAGCGAGTCCGACATCCACAGTTTTGTTATTTATATTATTTTGTTATGTACACTATTATGTATATTGTTATGTATACTGTTTCGTTATTTATACTTTTATCCATTTTCGTAGTGAACGGTGGTTATTCAGATTGGGGACCGTACGGTGAGTGCTCAAAGACTTGTGGTGGTGGAGAACAGACGCGTGAAAGAACGTGTACCAATCCACCGCCTTCCAATGGCGGGGAGGACTGCAGTGGACTGGGACCCGAAAGCACAACCAGGGAATGCAACAATCAGACGTGTCAAGGTGAGACAAAACTTCTTTGGTTTCACATTATGTAATATTTTGACAGGCGGGCATGGGGGCAACTAAGCTTGCCACACTAGACAGCCAATAGCGAGACGATTTCAAATCGTTCATTAACTTTTTCATTTTAGTCTCGTTTCTGAAAAAAAATTCCTTTTTTCAGTAGCTGTTATTGCAATTATCAGACATACAAAAGAGGCAAATTTCGTTCATTTCCAATCGCATTATTTTCACTTTTCTATTACCGATCACTTGAAAGAAGAAAAAAAAATATGTATATCTTATAATTTCTTGTACTTATAGTTTATCAAAGTTTTTAACAAAAATAAAAGCTGTTAGAATAGTTTTGTTTAT